AATGACGGTTGTGTCTGCCTCTTTTTATATATCTTCATTGTGTGTAGACGTTGTTTTTCTTCTCTCTTATAGGTAAATCCGTGTGTTTTTTCTTCTCTCTTACAGGTTAAATCCGAACGATCAACGTTGTAACGCGCGATTGCCGCAAATCGGATGGTCTTGACGTCGTCGTAAATTCCTGGTCCCTGGAATGGTCCATGCATGCCTGTCGTAAAATCTCCTACTACCATTTCTCAAGTGGCGAAAGCGAGGTCAATGGCCGCTACCAGCAGCGACTTCGTCCGCCATGATGGGGGACGTGTTCGCGTTTTCATCACTCATACAGTCTTGTGCGCATGCGTCAGTCGTGTCCATGGGAACTCTGTTATCCTCTGCTATCGGTAACGCCGGCAGGACCAGGGATTTCTGTTTCCTACGAAAGAGAAAATAGAAACACACAATGATAAGCAGTGGGGCAAATTGCCTCTAATCTACATAGTCAAACTATCTGATTTTGACAGATGCATCTGTGTAAAAGGGATTGCAGAAAATATATGACATGTTACATGTAAGTATAGCGGTCCGCGTGAGGAGTCATGTCATCAGCATATAATGATATATGATAATATATGCAATGTTTTTGACCTAAAGAGTTAGTGAAATTGAAAAAAAAACAGAAACAACTGAAACAGCAGAATTATGGCTAACGCTGATAGAAAAGCCAACATTTGTCTTTTCCAAAGATTAATATTAGGACCAAGCGGTTTTACCAGCTACTCCAATGATGAGGTTTTGTCCCCAAGCATGGATTCTCTGCCGCTGAAGCTTGCATGAGGCTAGCAGAGAAGGAGGTGCAGAAAAAGAACGTGATGATGATGATAAAGATGATTTGAATGGTGATGGTGGCGAAGAAGTACTGAAGAATTGCAGAGTGAATAAAGTGATGAAAGGTAGAAGAGAGGAAAGTACAGTAATTTTTACTTACTTGACTGTATCAGCCTCTTCAGTATCTGATTTCCGCTTGCCCAGTATGTCAAAGTAAGAGTCAATCTGGAGGTCCAATGCCACGCGCGCATTGGTCAGCGACATCACGTGATGCACGATCTCCATGATCTGAGTGGCGGTGTCCTCTTTCAGGGCATGCAGCTCCGTCTCCAGTGCCCGGATGCTCTCCTCGTATTTGACGGTGTTTTCGTCCACAGCTTTCTCCGCCTCTTGAAGCTGCTTTGATAGACTCGAGTTCTGACCATAAAAAAAACATGGAAAATTTGACTATTGACGCTTAACACAGATCTACACATTTTATTAGCAAGGTAACTTGCAAAATAGCACGACAGGAAAACAGAAAATAAAACCATTTTGAAAGGGCGTTCGCTTGGATCGTTGAATGGTGAAAATATATGAAATTTATTGCTTTTATTCCTCGAATTAGTTAGTTTCTATGTCTTGGTGCAGATCTCTGTATCTTACCTGACTTCTTAGCATGTCTATCTCGTCTGACAGGTGCCCGACTAGCGTCTCGCTCTGCAGCAAGGCGTCTCGCGTTTCTGTAAGTGTCTCTGCGTCCTTCGCCGCCGCCGCTTTTGCTTCCTCCAACTGCAACACAAGAAATCGGAGATGTCACACCTCAGTGAAGCATTTCAGAGTTATTTAGAATTTCTTCTTTTATTCATTATTGTAAATCTTTCGTTGATCTTGTGCATATACGCCACTGTCAGTTTTTCCAAGATCATTTTGACCCCCCAATCTTTCTGTCAGTCTGTGGTTACACCATTTCCCCCTCACTTCCTGTGGCTCAACTGTATTCATTCGCGGACACACAGGCAAACATACAGAAAACACTAAAAACAAACCCACGGTAAAATATCATCAGAGCACGTTCATGTAAACATGTATACCTGTGTCCTGTACCACTGTTCCAACTCCTGCTTTGACATCCGGGCACTGTCCTCCTGCTGGACGGACATGCGCTGTAGCGTCTCTGTCAGCTCGACGTGATATTTCTGCACGCAGCTGCTCAGTTCCTCCATCTTCTTCTTCAGGGCGGCCTCGGCTTGTTTATCCTGGCAGAAATATTATCTTTCAGTTATTTCTACATCGTCTTGGAGCAAGCGTAAACGACCTACCTTCGCTAACCTACTAGTAGGTACCTACATAGTCCCTGGACTGACACAGGTCTACTACTACTACTACTACTTCTACTACTACTACAACTTCTACAGCTACTGCTACTACTACTACGTACAACTAGTGCTACTACGACAAGGCAGACGTTGAGCTGAGCTGAGATTGAGCGAGACTATTCTCTCGAACTATTTTGTATTTTTATACGTTTAAGTTACTTAACAACTCTTCCCAACTTAGTAATGTATTGAGTATTGCTTTAGTTAGAATGCTGCTTTTTGTTTTGTTTAGCTGGTGGCAAACTTACTTTTTCTGTGTCTAGCTCACTTTTCTGTCGTACATGAAAATGAAATGGAAAATGCGTTATGGCATGGCGAGGTATTAGCAAATTAGCAAAACATTTAAGAGTAGAAGCTGCCTATGCAAATTAGACACGACTGCATATGAGTACAATATTAGCGATGTTAGCAGTTATGCACGCTACTGATGCAACGTAAGGTTGTTTGTCTGCAACACATAAAGCGCAAAATTGTGAATGACAGGTATTGTACATGAAATGTGTTTTCTAACTTGCTGTGTTGTGTTGTTTTCTTTCTCTCTCTCTCTCTCTCTTGAGTCTTTGGCATGTCTGATACATATTGTATAATACATGAAGTATATGTTGCACGTACGAACCTTATATTACTGTTCAATCGTCGAGATAGATTCATTCGTCCATAAATGCATGTTCATGAGTTGCCCTTGTGATTCAATGTCAGCTATTGAACCTCATTAAATTTTTGCCAGCATGTTTCAGTAAATATTCTTAAATTTATATTTTGTTTCTAAGGGGTAATTTGTTTTATCACCTTTTCCTCTACCCTCAGTCGCATGAGCTGGCCCTCTTCTTGTTCCCGGGTCAGTCTTCTCTCCAGGTCATCTCGTTCCACCTTGAACTTGGCTAATTCCTGAGGAAGGATCGACGGAAGGAAATTCCAAGTTCAGGTATGTGCATATTTCTGAACTGCATATTTCAATAGTTTAAGGAATTGACCAGGCATAACGCACACGTAACACAAGCGCTCCAATGACATGCATGTTTACGTAGAGTATAAAGACATTTAATGAATTCCGATTGTGTTAATTTGATAACCTTTGGTCACAGTGCATTTCCTGAGACATAATATCTGCAAGTAGTTGACCCATAATACGCGTTGATTTATGAAGAGGTGAAGAAATTAGCAGCTACTAATTGTTTGTAGGTCATGGAGGTCGTGCGTGTCGCTGGAGGGTCTGTAAATAAGTGGGCGCATTTCACCATCTGTTTTTTCTCTCCCTGTCAAACAGGTTATTATGCATATGTTTACAGAAGGAAAACATTGTTTTTTGCTCTGTTTCCTCTTCTTCTCCTCCAAACAAATAAGGTCAACGTTTGTCACTATGGTAACTTGTGTTGGGTTACTAGTTCACCATGTTGCAATTTTATAACAGGAGGGATTTAGACTCCTGTCACGATACATGAATGTGTTAATCAGTAAGAATCAACAGAGCAGACCATATGCGAAGGTAAACATTATGCGTTTGCTTTGCAAATGTTACTTTTCTAGTTGCTACATGTAGCTATGTTTGAACTATCGTCTAGTGACTACCACGAGATTCGCTTAAAACATGCTACAGAGAAACCGCCCATATTACCAGTAAAGTCATAAACTTCCCCATATTACCAGTCAGAAATTAGTACAAAACACTATCAAAAAGTACAGGTTTTCATAGATAGCTGAACGCTTACCTGTCTTGTCCGAGAAAGGTCTTCTGCTATTTTTGCACGCATTTTAGACTCATCCTCCCATCTGAAATAACAAAAGATAAAAAAAGTTTAACAGGTGTCAAACGATGTCTCTGTTCTGTTTTGTGAGGTGGGGTTATTTTTGTATGCCACGAATTCTGCATCTATAATCACAAGGTCGGTTAGGCATGAATATGTGATAAATTACAGGATATTACGAAAGATGTGGAGTGTCACACTAGTCACAACAATTACTACGTCACTAGGCATTTGTTGTCCAAGTTGACCGTCCTTACTAATGCCGGACGTGACACATTGATGCTATTTGCGTGGGTTTGCTTGAATGTGCAGTCTGATTCAAATCACATACTAGTCGTTTACTATTCTTTGTACAGAAGATTAGATCTGCTGTGGTTTGTTAATCGTGCTGGTCGGAACTTCGTCTAGACAAACAGCCCTGCTCATTTGCACATTCCGAGACAAAACTCTTTCCGCCATTTTGTTTTTGGTTTTTAATAAACACCCAGAATCCCTTGAGAAAAAGCGCACGTTGGATTCCAAAATTGTCAAGAAAAGACGGAGGTAGGATATTTTCCTTGCACAAACACAGCTGACGGCCTACACGGGCCTACTTCACAACCCAATGAGAGTTTTTATCTCTTTGGAACGACGCCCTAAGGTCAAATACCACCAAGGTCACAGAGTCGTCACGTACCCCGAGGCGTAACAGTACACACGATTGGGTTTCTGCTAATTACCTGGCTATTCAAACGGTTCGTTGTGAGTGAGAAGTCACTATGGTCGGGTAACGAATAGAAACAGATGGTAAAACGTCAATTACTTGTTTTAATACACAGATAAGTTACCTGCGAACGCAAACAAATCAAGTTGGGCAATTTTCAACCCTTGCTTTGCCGAGAAATTTGTCAGAGACCTGAAGTACTCGGGATGTATGGATCGACACAAATAAGCCATGCATATCGTGGCTGAGAACTTTGACAAAGCAGCGACTTGTTTTGGGATCAGCAAATGATCTAAGGTTAAGAAAGCTTAGGCCACACAAGGATGCATGTCGTCATATTACGTGATTGACTTACCAACATCCAACTGTACAACTGTTTATCATGTAAAATGTCAGGACAGTACAGTTTCTAATGTCGAGGTAGGCGTACCGGAGTTTGGGGGAACGTACATGTGCCCATAGTATGTGAAAAGCGTAAGAATATTATAACATGGTGGGTCTAAACATGGTTTTAAACTTTTTCAGCGGAAAATGTACTTTTTTTCAGGCTAAATTGATGTTATGAATATTGTAAGGGACCTAAATTAAGGTTGTAATTTACAAAGGACAAAATACACTTTGTGGTAAGGGAAGATCATAACACCACCTTTCCAAATTGTTGCCATTTTTTAATGTCGACATCTGCTTGAGGGATCACGAACGATTCACCCCTAAGCGTTATGTCGCCGAGTGAAATATTCCAAACGCATTCCGAGAAGCCCACCCAGCCATGGTCCCATTGTTCCCACAAACCTTTGGTAGTTAGGCCATGTTGATTTGTTCATATGGATGACATCCGCGCGCGCATGAATTTTCGTCCGTTTCCAAAAAAAAAAGTTTTCGACCATACTGTAAATCGTACTAAGCTGCTGCAAAATGAACAAATATATACCGTAGATTGAAAAAATATTGGAAAACGACCCTTATGTCGCAGAATGCCAAAATCCATTCCAAAGGACAAGAAGAAAATGCGAAGGAATGAAAATGAAAAGTCTATTATTCACCATGCCAATAAAATAATCTAGTATGTTCAACCTTCATGACCACGTAGATTTCAAAATGAATTAAACTTTTTTTCCAAACTTTTTTATTCGCACGCTCGCATCCGTTTTGGGGTTCCCAGAGGATCTCATCCATATAATCAAATCAACATAGCCTTACCCATAATAGAGGGTTCCTACATAAGCGAGTTTGACTTCTTGAACTAACACGCCAATTGTCCCGTGTCAAAGTCAAGAGGCATATCAACAAGTAGATGCATGACTGCATACAAACTGACTAGAGATTGTTAGAAGCCTTTACAGCTGGTGACGATGAAATATATAGCTACTTGGCTCAAGTACAAACATGTACCAACTGCCAAAGCAACCCCTGAACGCGGCGGAATAATTTGAATAATGATAAATGGACGAGAGAACAACTTTAACCCCGTGTTTCTGGTAGCAATGACGATAAAGACCGACCCTTGGCTCTTGGCGTTCAGAGATTACCCTTGCTCAAATCGGTATGCGAAATATGTTCAACCCAAGTCTTCAACATTGTGCTTCATAACATGCAGTCATTTTGTGGATGCAAGATTGTGTGTGACATTCATGGTTCATGCATTACAATCAGACATCTTCACAGTACGCTAACACAGATCTGTTTTTCAAACTCAAACAATGCATATGTGTCAACAGTCAAGACGATTAAATATACATTTGTATTTAGGTCAAAGGTACAGTTAAGGTTTGGTTACTCGTCTCAACTAGCCATGCTATGAAAACGTGACCTAGAAACTACAGTGCTTCACTGTTCGGCTGTTCCTTTGAAAACATATGACACGGCATTGCAGCGACCTAGCTCTAGTGACACTTTCTCCTGACTCACAGGGCTTCTTCTGTTACGCGTTTCAAAATGGCACTGTGCAATCAAAATAAACAATCCACATATAACAAGCAAACAACGAAACCAAGCAGACGTAAACGGTGCAGACAACGATAGCGCAAACCATAGCCTATTATTTTTCAGTCTTTATGGAGAAAGGAGGTATGTAGTGATTATAGGGTTGGATGAGTCATATGCCTCTTAAGACGGCCAGGTGGGCAGGTAGCTCTAAGCGATGCCCGGCGCACCTACACATTAAGGCCAATAACCCGGGGGATGATGACCATGTTTGTCTCTGTCGAAGGTGTGTTCTGGAAATCTTTCCATCAAGTCTGAATGACTTCTGATCATCTCCCACACCTTCCTAATACAACCATCACTTAGTAGCCTCAGAACTTTTCACGCGTCTTTCAAACATGTTTTGCAAAAGCAAGAAAAGCTAGACAAAGTGACCTCGATGTGCAGAAAGGTGCATGATCTACACAACAGATGAACACAGACTTCGGTGAGGGTACTGGAAGGGCGAGAAAGTCGTTAGAGAGTCGCCTACATTCGGAGACGTTCGTCATTGTCCGGTATAACTCGTCCATCTTATGATTGACAAGTAATCTGATAATGATTACTGTAACACATGGTGTGTTTCTGACACAGTTACTAAGAGACGGGATATTCCGATACACCAAGAGAGTGTCCTTGGATTGAGCTTTGATGTTTTGTTTGGGACAAAATCATTATACATTCTACTTGGGGTAGACAAATAATGGACTCGTCCAAACCGATCTAAAGGTTCTTGTGGTCCCTTTGTTGGTAGTTTATTGGTTCCACCCATTCATCATTGTGCTTTACGATGCGATGATTCGCTTTTAAGTCGCCTAAAATCCCCCAGAGACCTCTACTTACTGCAACACTTTCTACTCTCTCTCTATAAAACCTTCGCCCTGTGTGTGTACACGGCAAGCTAGTCGGACAAATTTGCGGAGGTTAATAGTTCGTGCCCCGTACATGAGACACCCCTGGTCCGAATAAAGCAAAGAGAAGAAAAGGACTATTGTCTGCCGAAGACATCTTGCCCCCATGGTGTAACGATTTCTCAAAACACAGCGTCGCCAAGCGAACGATGTTAGAACGATGAAACCGGACAAACCGTGATAGGAATGTTTAACATTCGTCTAGTAACAGAAACAAAACATGGAATGAAAGTAAGCAATACTAAGATGGCGGCGATGATAAGTGTGTATTATTTTTCTTCACCCTATTAAATGGCGCGTGCCTCGGGCCTAGCCTGGGGAATTAACACTTGACTTGATGACTGTCAACAGATGCGTTAAATGAACTGTGCCTCTCCTTTGAACCTCGAGCTCCTTTCGTCAAATAGTTTGGAAAAAAAAAAAACACGCGAAATAATCAGTAATGTGGTAGCATGTTTCTTCTTTTAGCACAGTCTAGACGAAGTTCTTACGGTCTGAGGTATTATTTTTAACTCAATTATAGTCTGGCCTGCACGGTCGAGGGACGACCACCTGTCGACTGGCTGAAAGTGGCTGAGGGGAATTTGATATTTCTCGTCTGACAGCGAGACGTCCCGGCCTCACAGAGATAAAAGGTGGGCTCAGACAGCACCAAACATCGCAATCTGAGGAAAGGGGGGCATTTTTATTGGTGCACATCGCTGTCCTTCGTAAGTATTTGTCCGAACGGCACGTACGTACACAAACCGTGCACATCGGGTTACAACTGGGGTTGTCTTTGACAGACGCTGTCGTGACCTCTCATGACAAACCCGAGCACTTTGGAAATGAAAAAGACTCCCCAGCTGAAACTGGGACAGGCTACAATCCCCCCGAGCTGACAACGTAATGTCAGTTGTTCGATACTGTGTTTTCCCTGGCGCTATTGAACAGATCAATGCCCTAAAGGTATCAACAGAAAAGTAAGGGGCCAGTTTGGGGTCGCATGCTTAACCATTTCTTAGTAAACGTAAACATTACACACCTACGCGATCAAATTTACTTTAGTGAAGAGATAAAGTTAAATATTGACTTACTTTGCCTTGTATTCCTGGGCGTCCCTTCGTAGCCTGTCACACTCTTCAGAAAGGTGGGATTTTTCTCGTTCGAGGTCCTCCAGTGTCGGCGGGTTATCGGACGACTCGCTGCAAGTGGACCTCTTGTCGAAATTCAGCAGTTCGACCTCCATGTCTCTGAGATCGTGGCGAAGTTTCCTGTTTTCGGAGTCTAACTTCCTCTCGCTCTCAGCCTGCTCCGCGCACCGTTCGCGTAACTCCCTCATCTCCTTCTTCAGCTCAGCTCCCTTGGTGTCCCCCAGCTCCATGAGAGTGATCTGATCCTTCAGAAGTTTGTTCTGGTCCTCGAGAAAGTGTACTCTCTTGATGTAGGACATGAACCTCGTGTTGAGCTGCTTCATCTCGTACTTGGACTTGTCCGGCACTGACGACGACGACGACATGTCTTTCACGGAGTGTATCGAGCTCCAGCGGGTGAAGGCGGTGGACGGGCGGTGGTAGGAGCTCGATAGCCCCGAGTAGCTCACGCTGCGGCTGACGTAGGTCGAGGTCCTCTCGGCTGAGGTAGTGTTCGGCGGGGACATGCTCGGAGACATCGTTCGGGTGGGTGAGAGGATCTCACTGCTGCTGGAAGAGGAGGGACAGAAGCCGTTAATGTGAGGTGGATATGGTTGCGCTGCCGGGAAGTGTGAGTTGTTAGTAGGAGTGCGGATCATGTTGGGTGAAGGTGGGACGGCTTCTCTCATGACGAACTACCGCCGGTCTGTCCGCCGTGCGGTGATTAGGTAACACGGAGACAAAGTTTACCGCGCAGACGCAGTCGCCCCGGAATCCTGCCCGGCCGGACCCCCCTTCCCTATCACGGAGGTCATGACCCCTGAGGACGACAGCACACCTTGATGACGTCAGAGCCACAACACCTGGTTGGAATTGCGTGGGCATGGAGTGGGGGGGGGGTGTCTTACTCACATGTATGTAAACTATGTACATGTATTACTAAGCTCTTGGCCGACCTCTTAAGGTTTACTGTAACTGGTTGTAACGCTTGTTAAGTACCTTAACACCACTCGTTTATGTGCCTTAATAGATATGTTCTCTTTTCTGAAGCATGCCCTCCAAACACTGATAGGTGACCTTCCCTTCAGCGGTTTACTAGCAAACCGTTTAGTTCGAAGAGACATGTTTTGGCCAGATTTTATCTGTTAGAAAACTACGCCTTTGATTTATTGGCAATGACGTGTGCCAATTTCGTGAAGGAAATTCCTCGATCACTCAGGTGCATTTTGAAAGCTATAAACAAGAACGGCTGTCAAGATATAATCGTAGACAAATTCTAAACTTTTATAAAATATCACTGCGAATCAAACTTTTAGGCATGCGGTCCATTTCATCTTCTGACAATCGCCAACAACAGTATCGGGGTACTACGTCTACATCGTCTACATCCATTTACCTTTACTTCAATGCCGACAAATAAAACGACGTCACGGTATGAAGAGAAAACAGAAATAAAGTACTTGACCTTGTGCAGTAGTGCGTAGGCAAATGTCATCATTGTTTGGGTACTGTAAGCTTTGACGTACATGTATTTGTCGTGTCCCAGTCATGCCTCAAACCCGGGCTACGAACTTGTTGTTGGTTTGCGTTTTGGGGGTGGTGTTCTAAAAGTAAAACACCTGGTGTCCAGGTTACAGTATAGTGGAAATCCCCACTTCAATACCTTACTGCCCAGTTTCTGGGTTAACATCATGAAAAGGTGATAGTCACCTATTACATGTATCTCAATCCTATATATAGTATACCACAAGTGTGGTAAATCTCAATAAATTAATTAATGTTTGTCAATCTATGAAGGAAATGGCCACTTCTGTATGCACGTTGACTACAGTTGTAAGGTTCGGAGCTTTGACAAACTGCACAAACAAATAAACCCACAAATACTGCAGAATTCCCACACGCAGATTTTACCGCGAGTTCCATTGATGTTTACAGAAGAATAGGGAGTTAACGAAATATTTAGGTAATTACGATTAATCCAAGACAATACTACGCTATTAGGTGCATCAGCTCTAATGAGATAATTGCCCAATGATCAGGACCCTTAAAAGGATGATTCCATATCTAACCTCTCGTTACCTTATTCACCAAAACCTTTCTGTCCAATGTCCAATAATTAGTACCCTTAAAATGATGATTCCATATCTAACCAACCTCGCGTTACCTTATTCACCAAAACCTTTCCGTAAATATTGTCAGAAAAATCTCGCATTCCATTTCACACTCTTGTACCTATGACTTGTCAGTTTTATGTCAGCTTTTCTCGTTCTTATTGTACATTTACATGGACACATGTGTACCAGATTTGTACAGGTACGTTGAAAACGATCTAGGAATGGGCTCCCGAAATGAGTCAACAGCAGTGGCTTTTTATGAAGGAATCTGTTTGTCCACGTAAGAGCCCCCAGGCGCGCTTAGCGCAAATTGCACCATTGTCAACAGGAACAAAGCACCTGTTCATCATGAGGTCATTATTTAGAGCAGACTACGAGTCATCCTGCCCTGGGAGATACTAGGTTTGTCCAGTTGACCGAAAGTTAATCAAATTGGCCAATTAGGTTCACCCGGAGCACCAGTATGGCGAGGGTCGGCATAAAGGTTACGTTGTGACAGGATAAGCCCTTCATCCTAAGTGGGAGGGGGGCTTCAGCCAGGTAAAGTCGTCCAGTCTTACGGGTATTGCATGTGTGTAATATGTGGTTCCTGTTATGAGGAATGCTCTATTGTTGGTGGAGAATTCTTGAGACACGAGGATTTGTTGAGTTTCCCGCATTCACATGTGTTATCACGCGAACTAAGGTCCCAGATGCGGGGATTTTTTGGTGTCTCACGGCAATATCGAGATAAACTAGAAGGACCGGTTAAAATGTTTACAAATTGGACAAAACAACGTTAGATACAGGGCCGGATTTTGTAATACTGAACAGTACGTGTACATGGTTGTTTTTTTTGTTTGTTTCTGTGGCACTCAAATCCAGATGTACTGCTTCCTGAGTCTTATTTATCCGTTTTGTGGTTCCAAATATCCAAAATTTCTTCCGTACCATACTAGGCACATGTGCTTTGGCTTTGAAAAGTAATAAAAAGATATCAGGATAGGCCTCCTCTTGCACGTTCGTATCTATATATTAACTGTATGTTCTGATCCATAGCGTCATATTACATGTGACGCTCACGTGATATGATGTAATGTCTCTATCTCGACATTCCGTCTCACAGACGCAGCAATAAAACCCAGGGACTCTCCCATCTCGGAAACAACGCCCTTTGTTGCCACCAGAAAAATCGATATCCGAACAGTTATGGATGGAAATGCGCTGAAGGGTAATAAATCAAAAGTTAGAGCTTAAAGACGCTTTTCTCTGGAAAAAAATCATGGTGCATTACTGATTTGGTAGTTCTTTTGGTGTAATTGCATGACGCTACGGTGAAAACTAAATTGATTAACATTTGTTATATGGTGCGATAGAAAAAATTTCATACTTTTTTCATTACTATTAAGAATATAGCATGTGTTCTTTTGCAACCGTGTTGTGAAATACGTTTTGATCTCAGCATGTATCGATAAGTAATCAATATATCTATAAGAATACATGCAAATGTCAATGCATATGTAATATGGAACGTCATATATGCACTATATACTGATAAACATATAGCAAATCGATATATTTTGATATCGTTTGGTTCTATTCTATTGATTGCTTTTAATAGGAAATTATTATTGAGGGTTTTATGCAACATTCCGTTACATCAGTGAAACCACCAATAGAGATTAAATGGTCAATGTTGGTTTTGGATGGAATGACCTGCCAGAATTATGGGGTATTCAGGTTCCGGCCCGGTACGCCGTTGCCCATGGGCGTGATTTTATCATTTACCGCCCTGCGGTGCGCAGTCGACAGTGAACCGCAGCACAGAAAACCCTGCATCCGTATCATAACTGAGAGTACATAATTGGCTGATCCACAAGATGGGACGGGAAACGTTTTTATGCGTGTACTGCATTTGATGCAGAAAGATGGTGACAATAAGAGGTTGGGAAGCTCCCCATTTTGAAATGCACGCATCCTGCAATAAACCGATACCGCGTTATTTCTCTCTAGACAGTCGCAATCGGTTGGGATGATGATTACCGACGGAAAAAGATCTATTGGTTATTCATTGGTAGAAACACTAGATTGCAATCGTATTCGATTATATAATTATCAATACTGGGTCAGAAAAAATTAAAGCCAAAGAGAATTAGGTCGTGTGTGTTTTACGGCTCACAGACCAGTCATGTGTCACTCAGTATTACCATCATTGACGTACATTTCTCCTATGTGCATCTCCACAGGCTCAACCCCAATTTGGAAATAGTGCCCTGAATCCATTCATCTTCGTTTCCATCCACTAATATGTAGGTCACTGTATAACGAACAGGTAGAGTACATGGTCTCATCTTTCGTGCAACCAATGAGACCTCTTTCTTTATTGACCGAAAATCCGTAACACTATCAACGTATCCTGGCGCGCGAGTAACCATAACTCATTAAATGTCGACACATTAAGTACAAGGCTATTCGTTTGCCAAAAGCCCATGTGATGTTAGTTGAGACGGAGGCAATGCAGAGAATCTGGTCGTTCGAAAGCAATAAACAGTGGAGATAATGGCAGGGAGAGGGTGACTTCAGGGCCAGTTCGCTGAGAATAAGATGGATGATCATGACCAGGCAATCTGGTATTCGTGATGCAGAAACTTTCAAATGTATTTCCAACGGGAACCTACTCTGCCATTACATTATTCAGCAGCCCTTGCACTTGCATGTAAAACTGTCATCGCCAGTCATCGAAATTGCATCGAAAGACCTGCTGATCTTATTTTTTAAAATAAATATTTCACGGAAACAAAATTACGTGAATTGTTGGCGCGAAGACGTGGTAGAATCGCAGCTCTTTTATGGGTGATGATTTGACGATTGCCCATAAATAATGAATCGCGCGATTTTGTGGCTTTGGCGATCGGCCTTCTAACACCTGACGGGAATACAGATTACCTGATAGATTATATGACACTTGTTTATATGGACAGGTATAAAAATGCTACGAACGACGAACAGGCTAGATGTAACCTTTAGAAAATGGGCTCTATAACAGATGGTGCAACGAGATGGGTAAAATGGACCCGCATTCACCCAGTACAAATATACTTACAAGCGCGGTCATTCCATGATAGCCAACCGCAATCATGGCGACTTTATACATAAGCCTTTATCTGGCTGTAATGGCGCTATCAGACCGAAATGTCTCTTTCCATAGGGTCAGATACTATTCAAGGTGAGTAGGGTTTTAGTCATCTTCCTCCATCAACTTCCTACATCAAAGGATGATCATGTTTTTCTTACGCGTATGGTACGCATAACAAAACTGGGTTCCGTTGACTGAGTGGTAGCAATTTATTCCAGTGTAGCAGTTTGTAAGTCATCTAGTGTTACTGCATGCAAAACTGAATTAAAACAACAGCAAGTGCCTTTCCAAATAGGAGCATTAAATTACTGGCCACAAGAGAGAGTGAGAGAGTGTGATGATAAAATTTGCCTTTTAGATGATAAATGGATTATGTGTCGCCCAAGTGGAAATACCAAATAAGGAAATGAGGCCCAGTGGAACTGTGTGTGTCATGTTGTTCTTTAGAATATTCAATCAACATATGGCACTCTTAGGTAACGTTCCCTCGCGACCATCTTTAAATATACCACGTGACAAAGAGGATACTGTTTTATGTTGCTCGGAGGATGAACCGTCAAGTGTACTGTAGTTGTATCTCCTCCTGGGGCGTCAGCTAAGCCTCTAGCGGTTTCTACGCCTGGTGTTTCAAGCTGCGATGCACTTGTCTTAAGTCAGAGGTTTTATTACTCTGTGCTAGTACAGTCGGCGTCATGGTATAAATCATATGCACGTTCCTATCTGGTAGGCCAAGCATGTCTCATCATGTTTCCGTGATTCAATGAAGATTCTGGTGTGATCGGATCTGCGTCCCCTCTATTACATTTTCATATATATACTTTCAATGGAATCATAATCACTGTATAAGTATGTTCTTGGAAAAGTCATTTCAGCAGAAGCATACCAGATAAGGCTCTTTTAGATATCATTTTTAAGCACCCACTGAATCCGCTTTAAAGAAAAAAAACACGATGATATTTTGAACATTCATGGTAATTTGAAATATATTAGCAACTCACTGACATGTCACAGAAATGGTAGTCCTGCTCCCGAATACCTACTCCTATTATAAATGACTATGGAATAATCTTTCATCTCCCTTTCTGCTGTTATATACATGTATGTTTAGATAAGGAACCCTGCTAGATGACTGCACTGTCACCTGCGGCAATACATGCATGTACATGGTGCTGAATGATAGATGGCAAGCGCAAGACACCAGCAGGTATCCATTGTGAAGGGCGAAGATGTCACACAGTATTACACGGCGGAAAATCGTTCTATATAATGGTCAGATCGATTGGAATGACGTTACTTCGGGACAAAAACGGAATACGTGTGATGAATAGGTTGGAAAAGAACTGTGACGTGGTAGTCACCGGAGGCACTATATTGTATTTGTGCTTGATACGAATTTACAGCGACTTGCGGAGCATTGAATTATGACAGAAACAAAGGATAGACAATAGAAACAGAAGAGCAGGTGATCACTACTGTGTGTGGTACCTGGAGACGGGAGAGGGCGGCTCGCAGGGTGGGAGGGGTAGGGAACACGGCACACGCTGCAGGCGTGCGCGCCTGCCAACCGGGTCCGGATACGGCCCACGCAACCGACGACATGACGACGTGCTCATCTTTCCTTGCTGACCAAAACAGAGCAGTCTGGCGGAAAGTTTGACGGTCATTGTCATTCAAGGACCGTCCGCCGTGGCGCAGAGATCCCTGTGCGGTGCTGGGTGGGGAGGGAAGATGGCGGACCCCTCTACCATAGATGGGAAAATTCGCGAACTTCCGAGCTCCTTCAACGTGGATTTCCTCACAACTGCACACAGGTATTCCGTACTGGCGTTACAACAATCCCGACAAAGGCAGGTACCGCGGAAAAGTCGTTACATATTGGAAACCGGGCCAGGAGGCCTGCAGGGCAGCGGCACCTCCCATCGTCGCCATGTCAGGTGCAACGAAAGTACTTAAGACCATCAAACAGCTAAATCCGATGAAACAACCTCTCCAACATCGCGTTCAACACTGCTGGTACGTCCAAGACCTTTTCCAGCGTCGCCACACGGGGTTCCTCCTCCTCCCTGCTCCCTCCATGAGCGGATGACGTAGTCTGACCGTCCCGCGGCTCCCGGAGCCGCTAAGAAAAATGGCGACGTAATGCAGGGTGCTGACCCGATCCAGCGGCGCCGGCCTGCCAGCTCCAATAATTCGTCTGCCCGATAAATCCGTTACAATCGATAGCGCACGCGACGCAGGGGGAATAAACCCCCTGCAACCGGACTGACACTGCACGCCCGGACGGGACAGAGCAATAACAACAAAAGTCCGCCCCTCCCCCTTTTCCGAGAAAGCCAATGCGAACAATTTATGATGACGTACCCCATCCATGACACACAAGCATACGCAAAGGATGCTTTGCACACCGTCATTGCCAAAAGCCAGTACGTATTTTACATACTGCTTGGAAGAATGCCGGATATTGGAAATCGCTTGACACAAGATATGAAGAATCTTCGCTTATTCTTGGGGCAGATATCTTTCTGCGATACGTGTAATGTAGACAAGATTATGCGAAGCACGTGAAGACTTTACCACATTCTTATCAGATCTATGAGCGAAGACCTCCATCATACTGCCAAAGTATTCTTCATAGTTAATATATAGTGTACAGCAAACATACCAGGGCTGGCCAACTCATATCAACGCGCTCTTTCAGGTGCGATTGTTGTTAAATTAAGAATATGTATTGATTTTGTACTATTTAAAAGAGGCAAAGTGTTCATCAGATGAATGCGCTCTCTGGGATAGTATATAGGTGTGTGTGTGTGTGTGTGTGTGTGTGTGTGTGTGTGTGTGTGTGTGTGTGTGTGTGTGTTGTGTGTGTGTGTGTGTTGTGTGTGTGTGTGTGTGTGTGTGTGTGTGTGTATGTGCAAGTATATATATAAAACACTACAGAAAATCTATAAGACATAGAAATCGATCCACTGTAGGATCCACAACTTCTTAACAGTTCAAAGAAGACCCGATGGCGACCTGCCCTCACACAAGGGTCCAGGAACAATAGTCAGGTTTGCGGTGGACATTAACGGTTTGTCAGGAATGGTACGAATAGCTCTCACGGGGCAGCGTTAAGGCCATAACCGGGAAGACATATCGTTCGCTGGTAGTATAACCTGCCTTAGCCACATGTGACACAGTAGCTTACTGCTGATGTCCGTGTTGATAACCCAGGAGAGAATGTGATGACATTTTGCGGGTTTTCTCGAACAAAGAGAAAGCCAAGGTCGGTGTAAAACTGGTAATGTGATTATCCCGGACTGGATTTACGGCTTGGGGCGGAACATGGCTGCCGCCCCGTCGTGTTTTTCAGATTACATCTTTTAGATTTTATGTATTTCTCGATACCCATGTCATCGAGTGGTGTATATACATTACCTTGACGTGGCCTTCACGTGCTACTATTGTATCGGCAGTATTAAAGTAATGTTATACGGTGATTTTGGATAGGTTTACCTGGTGGAATGATGGTAGAGACCAGAGACAAGGCAATAGGGCCAAGGCAACGGGACCAGACGCGGCTCCAGATCAGCGGGCTATTCATAGATACATAATTGAATCATCTGCCTTTTCCGTCCCGAGCGGATAAGGTCAGGCTGAGATAGCACGAAGGGACCTGTTTTATATATTCATGTTTGTGAGGAGCTCTTGAAAATGCATTTTGAATGCAGTTTGCTGGTACCTCTACCTTCGGTGAATGAGATTTCGGAAGAGATTGTAAATGAGCTGCCATGATCTTCTATGGGCAGGGTCTGGCCTGGATAAGCTATTCGGTTATGGCATAAATCTGTATTCAGATCAGAGTCCAGGTACATGTCTGCAGGTTATTTTTACTGCAAATAGCTCTGATCATCCATTGTCACAGAGTCTTGAACGGTACATTTTCAACTATTTTACATGTAAATGTGTATGTAATATTCAATTATGTAGGCACAAAGCATCCTTCTTATGGTTACATGGGGTTCATTGTAGTTTTTAGACAAATTGCTGTAGTCTCGAAATAGTGTGACAATATCAAAGGCAATGATGTCAGCCATCTTCTCCAGTTCAGTGCAACCTGAAAACGGCAGAATGGCATCAACGGCACATCAAAACGCAACAAATCGATGGAACAGTGTCGCGTTGATTATATGCTACGTTACACATTGCACGGGCAAGACTCTGTATTTTGTCTTGGGTGAGGCATACTGTTTGCCATCAAGGTGTGCCTGCATTTTAAGCTTTCTCTGTTGTAGTTAGTGGTTCAGTGCGTTTTGTTGCGCTCAGGTCATGACCGTGACCTCCACATGTATATTTGATATTTGACCTTCTCAATGGAAATTGCGGCCGTCAGAAGCGGCTTTCCGTAACCTCCAGTATTATCACACCACGTCAGCTCGGAAACATCTGGGCGACGGGAAACGGGTGGGCTGATGACGGATGCCTGAACAGACAAAACTTTTAATGGACTTGGAGCCAATCTTACATCGCGATATCTATTGAAAATCAGCGGTAACATTAAGCTTGCGATGTGGTTGTAAATTCCTTTACCGTATCTCCTCAGGCGTGCTATACCGTTCCACATCGAGCGGGAAAAAAAGACATAAACCCAATTACAGGCACGTTTGCACGGAGCAGGCGCAGGAGGAATGTTAATAAAATTGCCGGGTAAGATGAATGTACGCGCCGTGCATACAAATTAACCCGGCCCGATCGCTTCCGACAGATAATCAATACGTAATATCTTCTGAGAAACAACTTGCATATTCTATCGATTGGATTTGGTGTCCATGAAAATGATACGTTACTATGGAAACATACACTTTTTTTACGATTGTAACGATTCTTGTTATCTGAAATTATACACAGAATTTAATGTTGAATGTTCCCTAGATTAATAGTTTATTCTTTACAGACCGGTCCTTGAATTAGCCAGTATCGACTTTTTGGACACAATGGTATAGAGCCAACGAAGCATGCACTGTACCCAAGGTAAAACGTGACAGGCCATTTATGTTTGAAAAGGGGGAGGGGGGCAAATCGACAGGCAGCTGTAAATCTTACTATATTAGTCGTATATGCCTTGTAATCTATTTCGTTTTAATTACAGTAGCTAATTTGATACTTATAACATTGGTTAAAACGTTACACGTGATTTCATGCCAGCAATATTCTTTTGAAACGTGCCAGGCTGCACGGCATCTTTTGCCAAAATCAGTACGTGGAAACATGACAATCAGATTTCCATGTCTTTCCCACGAGCCACAGGAACGGTACAGCCAACTATTTCAGATATAACGTTACATTCATGGCAGCTACTTCAGCTATGATTTAATAGGCAAGCCTACCTGTAGGTAGATTGTCCGGCGTCCACAATAGAGTCTCGTTTGAGCATGAAATGTACTGATGACGCATTGTCCGTGACTTCGGGCTCCAAAATTGGCAATGAGCTGCCGGACTCAATTCAATACTCTAGCGACGAAGGCATGGGCGTGGGAACGACAGTGTTGGGTAGTGTAGCTCAGCCAATGGTTAATAACATTCACAAAGGGTGAGGCTACCGAAGGGAAAGGAAGAGGGACCCAAAACAAAATAGTCAAACTGTTTTTCCAGACATTTCTGAACAGATCTGAGTACTAGTATTTTGTGCATTGGTCAGAGCACCAGACGTGCTATTAAATGTATGAATAAAGCTGTAGCAAAAAGCCATCGTTGGTGAGACTAAGTTTTCAGTCTTCCCTGTGACGATGCTTCATTCAACTGACAAAAAGTTACAGCTGGTACAGTCTCAAGTTCGTGACCTCACATGGAAGAACAAAGCACCAGGCCACATGATTACATGTTACTACAGCAGCAGCTGATGAGGAGATTGCCTTACCAGCTCGGGTCGGTACCCGCTCGTAGCTAGCGTACACCGGGCTTCGGAGGCGGCTGGAAAGAGTAGAAATCGGCCAAATAGAGCGATAACATGCCAGGGTAGTTGGTCCGCTAGAGAGTACAGATTGAAGCTTAGAAGCTCCGGTCGCCAACCCTAGCATGCTATCCCAGTTGATCAGAAAATACCCCCCCCCCCAAAAAAAAAGAACAGAAAATACCCCACCCACCACCCAAAAAAGAAGGACAGGTCCGGGACGCCTGCAAAGGGGGCTAACCGGCTCGCGCGTCACTCCTCCCGCGGGAGAAGACTCATGCAGCCCGGCACGAGAGGCACGGCGAGGCACGGGGCACACTTAGCCGTATTGGGGCAATAGGAAATGACTTAGCGAGTGTCTTAAATTCAAGAAGGCGGATCGGATTGTAGACCCATCATTCATGATGAGTCTACAGTACAAGGTACAATGTTCATGGTTGGGCCCAATGGAGTTTGCTACAGAAACGGCGTGTTTTGTCATTACAAAAACATTGCATGGAAATCCCAGTATATACCCAACATGGTTGTACAGTTACCAACAGATGGTGGAGCAATGTAAATATATATAAGACGTTAGAAACTGCAACAAACACTGTACAAGTATGTAGTACTTGTATTTGTTAAGTAGATTTGTTTCTTAGAATTATTAGCAGAATATGCCAGGGATGTATCTTATACGATTGTTGAGCAATAAAATTGTTATCATATAGAGAAGTCCTATGCATGATTCACGGAAATATTGTGAAACAAATGAATATAAAATTTGTGCAAACACACAGTTATCTGCTGTTTTGATGATATCGCAAAAAAACAACAGCAGATGGCAACACCATATTGACACGCGAAAATATCACGTTGGATAAACATCTAAACCTGCCAACTGGCATGTACCACATGTAATGCCGTGTGAGAACAATGTCTAGAAAAGTAACTACACCTAGTGTGTTAACGCTCTCCCTTGTCACACGCCAACCTTTATTTGTAGTACTACACGTTGTACGATATATCAATTTGGCTGAGGCAGTTGCAACCAGTGCGTGCCGTACGTGTGTTATCAAAACAAATCCGCGGGACAAAATTACCTATTAAAAGAGACATGCGAATCATGACAGCTGTCAGTGCACAGTTCTTACAACTTCAGCTGCATATGACGGATTTCAA